AAGAATTGATGTGCGAAGCACGAATAGTTATTAAAATTAAGGTCGCATTTGGCCAATATAACCATTAAGGCTTTGTTCTTTTGGGTTGCAAAAATTAACTTCCAACTTTTTCCAACTCCTTCCAATTCTTTACAACTCCTAGTTTCTTCCAACAATCGATCATTTAAAAAAATGTATTTATATATGATGAATATACAATAACATTATATATCCAAACAAAAACAATGATGAATTCTTTTTCCAGCCTTTTCCGGTTTCTTCCAACTCCTTCCAGTTTCTTCCAACATCCAACTCTTAAAATCCAACCCAAAAGAACAAAGCCTAAAGTATGCTACGTGTTATAAAATCCCCCAACTAGCCTAATACATCTACAAATGGTGGAAAACTCGGTGTATCATCCATTTTCCAATGCCTCACTAGTCACTCCATTTTACAACAGCAGTTGAGTTATCAAATCTTAGAGAATCATATCCAGGCTATAACTACAACAGCAGCTCATAAGTCAGGTAATCCTAATAAGATGTTGACACACATGCACACACACAAGGATATAATTAAAAGGAAGAAGTTAAAAGCAAGATCCTTAACTGTAATAGTTTTACTGGACTCACCAAATATAGGTCCTAACAGTCTAACACTATGTTTGAATCAAGATTTAGAAGAAAAAAAAGGAAAACGGTTTATCTCGGAAGGCAATTTGTTTCCCTTTTAACTTTAATTTTTCCTCTCAATCTTCTTTTCCTCCCAAACCGAACAAGAAAATTTATTTCCCATATCATTTTCATTTCTTTTCCCACTCAAATTCGTTTAACCATGTAAATACAAACTAAGGAGGGTGGAAAACAAAGGGAAAAACTTACATGGGATTTTCTCCATGAAAGGAGCAGCAACTTGTCGAAAAATCCATGAAACAATCAGAGATAGCCCAAAAAGGCCGCAATAAGCAATACGGGCAGAGCGGCGGCTGATCCCGGACACCACCGTCCGACAGGCATCACAGGCGCACGCGGCGCAGCATGACGCAAGGCAAGACGCTGCCCACATCTTCAGAAAACTATCTTACTCCGGTCCTTGAACCGCCGAACAAACGGAACAGCTCAACAATTTCAAAACCTAAAAAGTGGCCTTAGTAAATTCCCAATAATCAACGGAAATAACTAATTTTTTAGAGAGGAAAACCTAAAATCAATAGAGAAAACTGAAGATCGGGTGTATAGGAGATCAGATAAGCACATCGATGGCAAAAAGTTGCACCAATTGAACGACCATAAGTCTATAATTGAAAACAAATTAATTGAAAAACTATTGATCATGCTTACCTTGGTGGCGTGCGCGCTTGCAGCGACAGGGGACGACGATTTGGACTTGGGAAGGTGGGATAACTCTTAACGGATTCACACGGTCACGGTTAGAGTAATGTACCCGGTGTTTCCCGTCGTAGAATTACAGTAATAGAACATTAATACTTCGTATTTATAATTACCTCCATTTTAAAATTATATATTGTGTAAATTTCCAAAATACTAGTACTCCATATTCACTAATTATTGTTTTCTGAAATTAGTTTCAACTTCTAAGACAAATTAATTATTGAGATGGTAGTCGTTAATTGAGAATAATGTTTTTTTAGTTCCTACACTAATATTCGTAAAAACAAGTTAAAACTGATACTAATTCTCCAAAATGATCATTTCTTATCAAGTCTTTTTCCAAGTTACACTATTTTGAAATAAAAAACGTATTAAATATATAAAAATAATTTTAATTTTTATAAGATGAAAATATAATAAATAAAATTGCAACTATAATTTATTAAATTTGAAAGTAAACGTTTCAAAAGGTTTACAATTATTTAAAACAATATAATATAAATAAAATACTGTATTTAATAAACATGATTTATTCGCTACCCCAGTTTTGAAAGAAATTTCTTGTTTTGATTTACAATGTAAGTTATTTTCAAAAAGTTATAAATAAAAATTGGTCTAGAATTTAATTTAAAAAATTATAAAAAACGTACAGTATAAGTTCTACACGTACAAAACAAGTGCCACATCTCCCATATTCAGGACGGGTTCATCAACAACGGACAAAATGTCAACCGCGATATACATAAAATATAACTATATGTTTAGCAAACTTTAGAGCATTAGTAATGGTGAGATAAAAATGGAATGTCACACGGCGACGTGAAACATTTTAACTAATAGAAAACAGTCCAATCATTGTGTGAGAAGTGAGTGAAGTAACATGCTCTTGTAGTAGCAAGTCATTGTTTTTTAACTTTTTATGTTTTTTTAAGTATTTTAATTATTAAAAATTGTTTTACTTTTTTCAAAAAAATACTTCTACTTCTTTAAAAAAAGATCTTCTATTTTATGAAAAAAACAAAAAAAAGAAAAAAAAAAGGAAAATTGGGAGCGAATTGGCACGCATAAGCACCGGAAAGAGGGATGGAACGCCTAAAATTACTAGAAAGCACCCTAAATAGGACTAAAACACAGAGAAAAGAGCTATATATTTTTTGGTAATGGACATAACCATGTTTGGTAATGTAAATACATTTTAACTCCTATTTCGAGAATAAAAACAAGAAAGTCTTATTTTGTTTTATTTTCAATGTGTTACTCTTACTTTTGTATTTTCCCTAAAATTACCTTGCAAATAGTGGAAGAAGCATGATGTGGCAATGCTCTTATATGCAAAACAACCCCCCCCCCCCCCAACCAAACGAAGGCAGTAACGAACGACGAAGAAAGAGAAGAGAACTATCAACTATCTCCACCAGAGGCACCGCTCGACAGTGGCGGATCTAGAAACTTTGACAGTAGGGGGCGCCAAACAAGGGTTTTGAGTAGGGGGCGCCAAACAAGGGTTTTGGGGTGGGGGGGGGGGGGGGGCAGCACCTCCAGATTGTTTTTTAATTCAAACAATGCAAAAGATTAAAAAATAATTAATTTAACCTCAAAAAATTATCCAAATAGTGAATTAAAAAGTTTAAAGAATAAAAGTTCTATATATGGATTGCATTATAACTTAGTTTAATTATTATATATTTTTAGTGTTTCACTTTCAATTTTATTTTTGTGATTTTTAAAAATTTGACTTTAAGATTATACTCTTTTAATTATTAAATATTTAACTTTTTTCATTTTTTCTCACTTAACACTATCTATTGAAGTCTCTAATATTTTTAATTGGGGTCTCCAATATTTTTAATTGGGGTCATAAATAATATATCTCTAAAAGCATTAAAAAATCAAAATAAAAAATTAGATATATATATAAAAAGTACTACTAAAGTAGTAGGGGGCATGTGACCCCAACACATACAAGGTGCATCCGCCTCTACCGCTCGACCACCCCAGATGCCACAACCCCCATCCAAGCCATCGCCACCGTAGTTACTTTCATAGACAAGGCACAATTGATTGACTCACTATGTTGGGAAGATAAAATGCAAGGAGAAAAGTAGTCCTTTGAAAAGGTTAAGCTAGACACTGACTATTCTCTCGACCGAAGAAAATAAAACTTCTCTAACCAAACATTGTTTGCCCAAGTTCTTTTGAACCTTTTTTTGGAATGAACGAAAAATGAAATGTGGAACCTTTTTATGAGATCAGACAGAGGGTGGAGACAATAATGGCTGGTGGGAAGATCAATGATAAAGATGAGGCAAAATGACGAGGAGATAGCAGAAAAATGAAGAAATTTAGATCAGAGAGGAAAAACACATCGAGAAAGCTTATTACTTCTGCATTAAGGGATGAAAATTCCACTAAATTACAAGTATTTCGATGTAAAAGATGTTACAAATGGGCTTGTCCCATATAAGTTGGAGTATAATATAGTCATTTTCTCTAACTAAAGCCATGTATTTTTATTTCTCTAGGGAATGATAGGGTCACAAGATGCCATCCATGGATATTTTATGGAGAAGATGGTTCGGAGGGGAAGGCAATGAAAGGTGGAAGACATAGAAATTGATAATTAGGGTTCAACATGATAAATCCAATACATAGGAAGGGGAGAATATAGGGATATCGTAAGTGAATGGTAGGAGGAAATGGTGATTATGTGTGGAGATTTATAACGACAAATGATATCTGCATATTTAGATATGGTGCACCTTAAGTGCATACCATTTTTGTGAATCTTCTAACATAATTTTTTTTAATCTTTTATAAAAAAAATAGATATTTATTTAAGTAATAAGAAAATACTTATTTTGCTAATATATATGTCAACGGTGGATCTTAAGTCTATCATAGAGTTTGCCTTGCAACATTATAACATGTGACAAAAGTAAAAAAGTAAACTTTTATTTTGGATGGATAAAAATGGGAGTGAGGAAGGAAATTAAATACTCCGTACATAAATTCTATCCTGTAGTTTTTAGCTTTACAACAATGTTTAGATAAATTGAATTGAAAATAACATTAGTAAAATTAAATATTACTAAAAATAAATATTGTAAAACGGAATGGAAACCTAGCATTGGATTGGAGGAGTATAACATCCAAGGCATGTGAGTAATAATGGAGAAAAAATCTTGACACCAATAGATCATCCATTGATAATAGCAAAAGAAATATATCTAAATAAAACTAAAACATTAAATTTTTATCAAAATAAAATCTTCTATGTTTTATCTCCTAAATGAGAATGTTGGCACCTTGCAATGTCACAACTTGATATTGTATATTGGCATGTCACAATATTTTTTGATACTCTATATTGACAGTCATTAACATTTTAGGTCCAATTTTGATATAGAAATATTGAAAGTCTTATTTTTGTACTTGAAATGTGTTTTAATCTTATTTAATCTATTTAAATAGCTCACTCTAATAACAATGCGAAATTGCTAACATTCTCTTTAAAGGGCACCTTTGACAATTCACAATATTGTTTACTTTAGAGCCTCTTCTATATGGTTGGATAAAAAAAGTTGGATGTTGGAATAAACTAGAAATAACTAGGACCTAGAAAAATCTAAAAAAGGACAACCTTATATGTCGAAAACAGAGGCTATTAAGGGGCTTTTATTCTAATACCAAACTCGAAATTCGATTTCCTCAAAGGACATAGGGTAATGCTGCTATATATACATATAAGATAAGCACAAAAAACAGTTTTATACAACATTGATTTCTTTGAGCCATGCAGTGTGCAATGGACATGGATCGGGCTTTCCTGCAGCAAGTGCTTTCTCTGAGAGCGCATAGAACCAGCCATTTCTCCATTGAAACTATATATTGAAGAAGCCAAGAAACAAACAAAAGAGTAAGAATTAAGAAAACATACCAAAACTGGTCATACTGATAACCCCATATTGGCTTTAAACGTATCCTACCTCCTTGACTGCTGTCGGGAAGTGGGCAACTGCCCGCGAGTACGCACACAGTCTATCCTCCATAGCTTCTTCAAAGACGATACCTTTCTCCGCAGCTGCAGCCTCCGCCAGCTCAGCAATAAGGCTGGATACCTGAAAGGATTGACCTAATTTATTAATATCATTTTTCTCGGTTACATTTCAGGCCTCAATTGGATTGACTTTGGGGTTGGAACTGAATAATTGGGAATTAAATGAATGGCGGGATTCCCTCCGTTTTCATGAATAATTCAATACCTATGGTATGTAGATGGTACCATTAAGCTATTTCCACCAGCGGGGAACGACCAAAGTGTAATGAAAAAAAATATAATGCTTTCTATTTCAGGATTTGATAAAACTCGAGAATTCACTAGTAATTCCCGGGGCTTAAGAAATGGACATCACATCATATTCTAGGGAATGAGGGAATTCCTGGAAATTGTACACCCACGCAAATGTAGTACAACATATCTATTAGTACTATGGCTGAGCATTATATGAGACATGTTAGTCAAGCATGTGTAGCGGGGTCTTCGAGGTATTGCATGCTGACTGACTCTTCCTAAAACAGTCTGTGTATCACCAGGGCTGCCCAGGTAAACTACTTAGGTTAGGGAGGCACAGTTATGGTTTTATCAGATGATTGAAAAGGAGCACCTTAATATACGGGAACAATTGCAAGATCGGTGCATGGTAAGGTTTGGACCCCCTTTTTAGATGTAGTTTCAGGGACGACTATTTATCGTTGGGCTAATTCCAATGCTTCTGGTAGAATTTCAAATGCTTCTGGTGGAGTTTCAATTTGAACGAAGCCAGGTGCCCGGTTCGCATCTTTGAGTGTAAACTCTACACTTATCGGCACATGTAAGGCTTCTTCTGTGCCAAAGGATTATTTCCCTATCGCCAGATGTTGGCAAGCCTAAAGCAATTGCAGCATCGCGAAAGACACCTTTGTGTCTCACCTAGCACCACTATGCCTGCCGCTAAAGCTCCGCTAAGATGAGTGAGCGCTATGCTAAAGACCTCTTATGACTGTGATAAACTGTTCACAGTTCACTAGAGGGCATCATTGCAATGAACACTTTAGCCTTCTCATTGAAGTTGAAAATGACGCCAACTACTCTGATTATTTAGAACCACAGATCTCACTTCAAGTTATTATTGGTACCCAGACTAGTACCAATATTAAGCTGTACAGTTCTTTAACAAGTAGCTCGGTATTAGGCTTGGTGGATTCGGGCAATACCCACAACTTCATTTGTAAGGGAATCGCGGATAACCTTTTATTACTGATTTGGTTCCAACCCAAGGTCAGCATTGTAATGGCCAACCGGAAGGTACAAAGCCTAGGCATCTGCCTCGAGTTCATATTTTAGTTGATCAGGTTCCAAATTTTTGATGATTTCTTTGTCCTTGACCTGGACAGCTTTGAGTTTGTGCTTAGTATTCAATGGTTATTGACTTTGGGTCTGTTAGGATTTTATGTCCCTCACCATGAAAATCTTCCTCGGTCCAATTCTCTATTTGGCAAGCACACCCCATGTATCTTCGTAGCATATGTTGCCTCATCAAAACCTTGACACATTGTTGGATGTGTTTGATGATCCTTTTTAAGAGACGACCCGGTTATCACATGCTTGAACCTATGACGGAGATTAGTGCAAACATGGATCCGGGCCGGGTCTTAGCACTAAATATTTACCATTTTTATGGGTGCGCCTGGCCCTAATCACATGGGCTACGAGCTACACCAATATCCGCTCATCTTGGCGGGCCGAGGCTGGGCTTTTGGGCCCAAAAATAGCATCAAGAAAAAACACGTAAAATAAGATAGAAGTCAAATTGATAACAATTTTACAACGAAAAAGAGAGTAATAGACAAAATAATCCAACACGATAAAAAAACAAGAAAAAATACAAAAAAAATTGTAATAGTAGCTACCAATTCACAACACATTACATATGACTAAATGTGAAACGCAAAACTAATAGGATCTAATTGACAACACATTTGGAAGATAAATAATCTAATATTATACTCCCTCTATCCCAAAAAATATTCCCTATTCGAATGTGTAAAATCTCGTGATTTTTAAAATGACTTCATTTACAAATTGGTATAAAAATAAAACTTACATTTTAAAAAAATTATACTAAAAGTTTTACAAAATAATAGGTGATAAGAATATTTTATTTTATCAAATGATCAATGAAAACATGCAAACAAAAAAAAGTTATCAAGAGGTCGTAATAATAAAGAGGTAAATCACTTCGGGACAGAGGGAGTATAAAAATATTTCTTTAAAAATGGGCAGGCCTCTCGGCCCTAATGGGCTAATCTAAATTCTCATATCCACCCATATACAAATCGGGCCTGACCCATTTTTAGGGCGGCCAGAACGGGCCAGACAAGCTGACCCTTGTTTGCACACACTTACCTTGTGTGACTATGGCATCATCTTCAAAGTTAGGATCTCAATCGATGATACTTCAGCTTTATTGGTACCACATTTTCCAAAAGACGAGCGTGAAAATGAATGTGCGGCCAAGTTTTCCCAAGGTATCATTCAGCCTAATCGCTTACCCATTTCCTCTCCAATCCTCCTTGCCTGCAAACAAGTTGAGTCTGGACATTTCTCCATGGACTATAGGAAATTGAGTGTATCCACCATCAAGGAGATGTTGCCTATTTCGGTCCGGTCGTGAATGAATTGTGGAACGATATGCATGACATGAAGTTCATCAAGAAGACCGACTTTCATTATGAATGCTTGGCGTTCATTCTAGATATGAATGCAGCAGATGATGAAATATAGCCTTTCACACTAACTATGATCACATTGAATGTTTGGTTATGCCCTTTGATTCGACAAATGTGCCATGAACTTTTTAGCCTTTCACACGAGGTATGTTTCCCAAATCATCATCACTATTTTTTGGTATTTCTTAATGATATTCTAGTCTATAGTTCTGGGATGCTCATGTTTGTCCATGTGTTTTTTATCGATGACGCTCACTGCCTTAGTCTTGAAAAAGTCTGAAAACTCATTTAGCATGACAAGTATATCTTATTTAGGCAATGTTGTTTCAGCCAAAGGCGTGTTTGTGGACAATGACAAAATTCTATCCATACTAAAGTGGCCTCAACTACAATCCACAATTGCTTTATTGCAACTACTGACCAGTTAGGCCATGTTCTCTTCACCTGATCTGAATGGTTCTAATATGATTGGAATAAGTTCTGATCTAGTCTGGTCTGATCTGAATGTAGTTATATTTAAAGCTATTTCTGATCTAATCTGATCTGATCTGCTCTGATTCCAATAAGAATAAGTAATAAGTAAAAAAAAATAAGTTGAGGAGAACAACGCATTACTACCTCAAGTTTATAAGCAACTATGTATCCCGAAACTGCACCCTTCATTGCTTTGAGGGAACTCCTCCCAAAGTTTGCTCATTTGGTTGCCTTGGGTATAGTATTGCTATAATGTTTCTTTCCATGCATCTTTAAGCATTTCTCCATTTCATGAAGTTTATGGTAGGGCACAACCATAAGCTAGGCTCCACCATGTTGACACAATGGAACATTCCTCCAAAATGATAAAGCTCTGAGGATAAAGCTCCGAGTGCGTCTTCAATATGCTCAAATGAAGACTGCATATGACAAAGATCATCGCAATGTAAAGTTCTCCCCAAGTTTTTGGGTTTGGCATTGTTTGCATCCCCATCGTCATTAGTCTATATCTTGCCAACTACATCACAAAGTGAACAAAAGAGTGTTACTATGCCCTTTCCTAGAAAAAATTCACAGTTAATAGCAACTAACCTAGGAGAAAGTGACCTGTTTATATTGTCTATACTGAAGGTTCGTGAATCGATGGGCAAGTTTAAAGGTGCGGGTGAATAAACTTGTTAACTTTTTTTCGATTTCTGATGAAAGAGGTACTACAAAAATCAATCCTTTAGGCTTGCATGAAATCAGAGTTGTAAAAAAGTTCACACAACAGAATAGTAGTTGTGATTTCTTTTAATTTGATAGCAAACGGAGTTGTAGATTTTAAAACGTTGGCGGTTAATCGCGTGATTAAGTGATAAAGTGTAGTAAGTAAAGATAGATCGATAGAGAGAAAAAGAGAGACAGATTTAAAGTTGTTCTGAAACTCCCTACTCTATTCTTCACCTAAACTCCAGCAAAATCCTGTAGTATACTCTTATATAGGTAAATTGGCTTAACCCTTGAACACACATCCATGTATAAACCTAAGCTTTTTCGACCACTGTCTACTCTACCTTCTTCTCTTCACTGAGTTTTTCGACCACACATCTACTCCGCCCCGTTCTACAAGTTGAAAACAACAAGGTTGTGATATGGATTCTCTAACTAGAATATACTTATGAATCTTCTTTGCAACCTTGAGAAAGCCTTAAGTCTTGATATATCTCTCTCGAGCACTTGATAGCTTGTTGAGCTATTTTCCTCTTTTGGGTTGATCCACTTTTTTCTAGCTCTTGGAAATTAGGTTATTTGCTCTAGCACTTCGAATTTATGCTTTGATTTAGTTTGTAATTGTTCTGCCATTTTATAGCACACTTTTGAATTCATCCGTTGGAGAGAAAATAAATTCAACATTTCAACAGTAGCCTACTAGCTAATAAGCTGAGGTTTACAATCAATGTCTTTTCTGTACTTTGTGTGCTCAGCCAAGTGGACGACACTAGCTGTAATATATTACAGACTGATTAGAAGAAGATTTAAATTCCTGCCGATGGAGCACCACGCAATTGGTCGTCTGTTTTCCAGATTATGTGACTGTAGCAAATCTTTCTGCCTTATCCGACCATTAATGTTTATCCGAAGGGTTGACTGCTTTTCTTTTTGAAAACTTCATATCTTTGACATTATGGATTTTCAGCTAGGGTCAGCTTATATTTGCCTTGACTCTCTTTACGTCTATCTAGCTTTCCGGAAGTTTTCTTATTGCAAAGAACTGCCTTTCCTGCATTCCTTTTCGCACTCTTCTTTGCATAGCATGTCTCTTCGTCTGTTATGTCATCTCATTCCCTTGCCTTCTTTGATCTTCCTCTTCATTCCCTATGTAGTCTCCTTGTCTTCTCGTTGAACATTCTCTTTGTTTGGTCATTTCTTCATGAAGTCTTCTTGTCTTCTTGTAGACCTAAGACTACTACAATAAATAAAGGGTTCTAGTTTTCTAAAATTTCGTATCTTCAAAATCTAATTACAACTAAAAGCAAGCCTCAAAGCTTAGAAGAGTACAGCTTACCATAAAAGCTGATCAGCTCGTTTGGAACAAAAAAACATAAATATTACTAAAAGGAACCAGAAGATTATTTTCACCATCCACCCTCCATGGTGCAAATTATCACGAGGATCCTTCTGACTTTTTACACCAATCATCATGATTGAAATGGCTGGTTC